CACACCTGAAGTCCCAGCTACTGGGGAGGCTGAGGCAGGAGAATTGCTTGAACCCAGAAGGTGAAGGTTGCAGTGAGCTGAGATTGTGCCACTGCACTCCAGTCTGGTCAAAAGAGCAAAACTCTGTCTCAAAAAAAAAAACAATAAAAAAATAGATGGACAACAATATAATAAACCAATAATTTATAAAAGAATTAAAATTCAAATGCATATTTTAAGCTTCACTATTAATCAAAGAAATGAATATAAGCACAATTAAATATCATTTCACCTATCATATTGGTAATATGATATGTAAGTATTCTCTTAGATCAACTCTTTTTCCTCCTTCCTCAAAGATCACAAATCCTAGGATGTACATTATATATGAATTTAACTCACTATTCCATCTTGTTACAGTCATCTACAGAACTTCAGTCACTCCTCTCAACTCACTGAAGATTTTATCTCCTGGTTTACCATCTTCTCTACTGCTAATTTCATCATCATTCTTGATGATGTTGCACAAATTTTCTATTCATCCCTGGACGCTCAGTTCCTCAAAATCCTCACTCTGAAGGATCTTGCCCTCCAATTTTTTTTTTTTTTTTTTTTTTTTTTTTGAGATGGAGTCTCGCTCTGTCGCCCAGGCTGGGAGTGCCCTGGCGCGATCTCGGGCTCACTGCAAGCTCTGCCTCCCGGGTTCAGGCCATTCTCCTGCCTCAGCCCCCCAAGTAGCTGGGATTACAGGCGCCCATCACCTCGCCCGGCTAGTTTTTTGTATTTTTAGTAGAGACGGGGTTTCACTTTCTTAGACAGGATGGTCTCGATCTCCTGACCCCGTGATCCGCCCACCTCAGCCTCCTAAAGTGCTGGAATTACAGGTGTGAGCCACCGCGCCCGGCCCAGCCACCATTTCTTAAGGTCACATCCTGTAATGTGCTACATCGGTGGGCAGTCAGACAGTCATTGAGATGTCAGACATCTTAATGTCGAGTATCTCATTGTCACCAAAGAAGTGGACAACTGATGTATAGACAAAAGGGTTTAAAAGTTTAAGTAATATCTTCACAACAGAAACATTTTTCCCATGAATGGTTTTCACTTACAATAATCTGATATGCATTTTAGTTACCAGATTTTAGTCTCCAATGCCATTCTCCCTCCAAAGGAACCAGGTGAGTGTGACAGTGGCTAAATCTGTGTTTTGAATGAGGAATATATCCAGATGGGTCTGTAATACATTGGTGTTTCGAAAAATCAATAATACTTTTTTAAAAAGTGCTTAAATAGGCTGGGCGCGGTGGCTCATGCCTGTGGTTCCAGCACTTTGGGAGGCCAAGGTGGGCGGATCATGAGGTCAGGGGTTCGAGAGCAGCCTGGCCAACATAGTGAAACCCCATCTCTACTAAAAATACAACAACAACAACAACAAATTAGCTGGGCATGGTGGCAGGTGCCTGTAATCCCAGCTACTTGGGAGGCTGAGGCAAGGAGAATTGCTTGAACCTGGAAGGAAGAGGTTACCGTGAGCTGAGATCACACCACTGCACTCCAGCCCAGGCAACAGTGCGAGACACCGTCTCAAAAAAAAAAAGTGCTTAAATAACAAAGGAATTTCTTAAAGTTGAACTTGAACTTGAACTTGAAAGCTGTTTCCACAATTTGAATACCAAAATAAATATAAATATTTGGAGCAAGTTGAGTCTATGTAAAACTAGTTTATAATAAGTTTCATAACAGGAAAAGTACTATAAAGTGTATTTTTAGAATAGTTACAATAACAAAGAAAAGTGGCAAGAATAGGGTATGACTGCCTTTTTAACCAAATTTTAATAAATTTCAGGCTTTTCTATGGATGTTATTTTTTCTATACTTATATGTTTCTCTATGAAATGTATTATTAAAACTTGAAATTGCCAACATTTGGCCATTTTGAGTTATAAAAATGGCAATTTTCATGTGGTTCAACCAGTAAATATGCATTTGCCTCTGTCTGTGTAAGAAACAAATGTTGTAAACAGGTAAATGTGAAAGTCATAAACACTAGAAACTATGCAAAGAACTGGAAGAAATTATTTGATCTAAAAGTCACTCAAAATGTCTAGTTAGAAGAAGAGGAAACAAGGAGAGGTCAAATAATGGATTAGCCCAATGTCCTGAAAGACATTTTCATTGCACCAAATTACCTCTTTATCCTTGGGATCACCCTGCTATTAATAATGAAATAGTGAAAATGACCAACAAAGTAACAGCGAAGAAGGAAGAACATCTGTAAAAAAATACTCGATAGGAATGAAAAAACATCATCAGATGTCAAGGAGAGATCTGGTTTACAGTGTCCCATACAAGTGGCAACTGAACATTGACTACCACAGGCTTCAGTTTGAGGTAACAACCAGATCCTTGTAGGAAATGGCTCTACCATAATGCCTTGGTGACCTTGAGTTTTTCCACATAAGTTAGTAGACTGCAGTCTAACCAGTCTTGGCAGAATGTTCTGCCATTTTTCATAGAGCAAGGGGTAATAAGTCTGGTGAGAAGCCGCCAGAGAGTTTCTTATTCCCATCTTGCAGGAGATTGCTACATGGCTGTTTGCTATCCATCTCCCTAGTTTCAGCTGAGCACGGAACTTTCATCTTGACGCTCCCTTACGGTACAGCTGCAGGCTTTTGTGTAAGTCTATAAAACTGCTTGGTTGTAGTTTAAAGTTGGCTCGTCTACAACAGAGCGGCCAACCACTCATACAGTTAGTCATCTGGTCTCTCTGGTTTGGTGCCATCTTTTGGTACAAGGGATGCAGGGAGCCAACACCATGCCACTTGCTTTTGCTTTCTGACTCCATTTGGGCTCATTGTTTTTTTTACCAACTGAAACTACGGAGGTATGTGGCAAACCAAGCTCACAGGTGCAGTAGTAATATTTGTGGCCCTGTTAGCCACTGTGTTGCTGCTTTGGGAATGCTTGACTGCTTGACAGTTCTCTAGCCCAGCCAAGAATCAAATATTCAGTAGCTCAGAAATGAAAATCTCAGCTGGTCTGAAACATCCTTTTTGTTTTGGACCTGGCGTGGTTAATGACACCTTAAAGAGGTAGAGAAAGAAGTACAATATAATAAAGAGATGAAACAAACCCCAAATTTTGCAACTTTGAAGTAGCATATGAAATAATAAATGTTTATCATTGAAATAATTGCTGTATATGTTTAAGATAGCAAAAGCACTTAAGAAACTTAATATGCTGCATCATGTTTCCCCCTAATATTTAAGGATATTTGTGTTTGAAATCCACATCTAAATGTTTAAGACAAACTTATTTATAAAATTAACACAGTTTGATTTGCTAATAATTCGTTAATTGTGTAAGTAGTGTTTAAATGTTTACATGAAAAAATTTAAAGGACTTATAAGTTATTGAATTGAAAATGGAAATATTTAAAATTAGTAGCAAGTGTTCTGTTTCTCATACAAAGAAGCCCGGGCATTATAGATCCCAGCTACATAATTCTCTCCTCTCTATCCAGCCTTATTACACTGGAACATACATACAATTCTTTAATTTGACGGCACATGGAGTCTATTGATCTCACTAATTTATGCTGCCCATCACCCCCTTCATATTCTCACATCTCCTCTTCCTGGCTTAGAGTCCATGGTTCATTACCATACTCTTTCCTTTGAAAACATGCACCATATCCTTAGTTTCTTTCTACACATACTAAACTCAAAACACAGGTCCAAATTAACCCATTTTTGCCTACTGCATGGTTTACCACACCTAGCTGACCAGTCATACTTTAAATTTATGACCAAAATTTCAAAAGCAGGACTTCAGCGTTGCTCAGCAGTTCTAGAAAATTCACACTTTCTGATAACAACTTTATAATTTCTTCTCTTCTTCTAGTCTCCAATACCCTCTCCTCCATTCCCCACTTCAGCTGATGACCTTGGTTTTTATTTCACTGGGAAAGTAGAAGCAATCAGGAAAGACTAGCTCATCGTCCCACCAGTACATATTCATTTACGTAGCCATAAACTCTGCTTTCTTTCTATTGTTAGGGATGACTACCACTTCCATTTATTTATTGGATTGTATCCTCTCTTGGCTGTTCGAGGACTTTGCTCCTGAAATTATCTGCTTTTCCTTCTAAAATTATCTGATGTTCTTTCCAGTAGTAGAACAATGCACTATTTTTTTCACAATGAAGAAAAACACCACCACCCTTATTGACTCCAAATCCTCCTCCCAGCTAAATTTTTCTGGTTTGTTTTTCAGCAAAACTCATCATTAGAGTTTTCTCTACTAGCTATTTTTTTCTTATTAACATTCACTCTTTCCATTCGTTTAACCCAAATCACTTCACTAGAGAGGCTCCTGTCAAGGTCTACTGGGCACCTCTGAGAAACTTTTTTGCTTCTACGTGAGTGATTCTGGAAGTACCTCTATCTTCCCCTCAGTGTTGCCAGTAAGAAACTGCTATAGCCAACTTGCCACGTGTCTGAGGATATATATCCATTGAAAAGGGAAATTAGAAAAAGGAGAACTCAAGGGAAATGGCTCAGGTCACAGCTTAAGTCAGCCTGCACCCTGCTTTGCCTCTGTGCTTCATTCATTTTTTATTCACCGACATTTACTGAGCACCTCCTATAAGGCACTGCTTGAGGTGTTGAGACAGCTGTGAACAAAAGATGAAGTCTATTTTCATGAAGCTTACATGTCAGTGGAAAGGACAGATGATTCTGAATAATAATTTAAGAAATGTAACTGAGTTAAGGCTAGGGGAAATGAAGCAAAAAAGCTAGAGTAACATGCATGGGGATTTTTATGGCAGCAACCTCTCCTCTCCTTATTTTCCTGAATAGTATCACTTTTCCATATCTAAAGTGTGATTAATAATAAAGATGGGATTTGTCCTCATTCAGTCAGGAACATTTATGCTAATGGAATTGACTTTGTTGAGCTGCACTGACAGTATTGCAGGGAGATGGATATCTGAATAACATCTTCTAGGAATGCAGAAGGAGACTTAAATATTAAGTTTATTTATTTAATGTTAAAGATCATGGAACAAAATATGAATATCCATATGTCTTTTACTGCTAAAGAAGCTTCTGCTGCCTAGTGTTCTCATGAGGGTCTGCTGTTGTTAGAGAGTTGTTTTAGCGGTTGTTTACTTGTTTACTTCCTTACTGACAAAATAGGGAATCTGTGGATAAATTATAATAAAATTTTATATCAGTGATTGTACTATTTGAAATAACCTCCTAATGTGGTCGAATTTCCAATATTCTTGCTGGACTTAGATCCAATTTCCAAACAGCAGCTGAAGCAGTCTTTCTAAAAGGCGAACATGTCCACATTCCCTGCTATGTACATACCTTTAGTGAGCTCCCCATGGCCTACAGAAAACAATCTGAAACCACAGTAAGATACTAAACCTTGACAACCTGGTTTGTACCTACTCTTTCAGCCTTTTAATATCATTTCCTTATTTATTAGTTTATTATACATCTATTTGGTGCCAAGCTCTGTTCTACATACTAGACATACAACAATGAGCAAAACATAGATGGATGGAATACCTTATTAGGTTGGTGAATTTGTAGGAAAAAAAATTGGGCATGCAAAGCCCAGTTCCTTCTCTTTCTCTAGTGGTCTAGTGCTGCCATCATTAAGAGGCCAAATTCTGGAATTCACATTTGGAAAACCCAGTATCCTATAGATACAGGCAACCTACTTCAATAACCACTTTATAATTAATAAAGGTGATATTTAATCCCACATTCCCTACTCTGTCTGCCTTTTACATAGTTCCAAATTCACGTAGAGAAGAGGGGTACCATTTACTGGATCTGTTTAAATTTCTAACACCAGCAATTTCACTCATAAAAGCTCAGTACAAAGGCTATGACTACTCTGATTTAGATAGATTTAAGTATAAATATACTTGAAAGTATGAGAATTCCATCCATTTTTATCACTTTTATATTTATCCTGAAATATTTGCATATGTATATCTGTTTGTCTATTACTGCCAAGTCTTTAACAGTAATCCACAATGGACTGTAGGTGAAATTAACATAGGTTGTAGAACCACACAAAGTGCCTTAGGCTTACTATTTTATTACTCTAGTACTAAGTGTGAATATATTTTCTTCTACATCTTTTTAATTATTTTGAACACCACTAGTCTCTAGGATTTATTTACATGGATGATTATACATTAAAATTAAGCCTGCAATAAAAATCAGATTGAAAATCTTAATCTTCTAGGCAAAGAATGGAGTTGTTTGGCATCTCACACAAGTCAACAAAAAGAAAAGCAGCTGTTTAATGAGGATTTGCTAATTTTTAAATAATTAGATGCCAAACTGCTACCTCCACACCAAAAAAAGCTCTGCTCTCGTTAAGAGGCTAGCACATACCAATGTCTATGGGAGTTTCATAAATATCAGCCCTTCCAGTTCGTCACAACTTAGTGGTTTCAATAATGAGAAAATCATGCTTGAGCAAAAAGAGTTATTTACAAATGCAAATCAGCCTCCAAAATGAGCTTTTCTGAAGGTAAATTTTACTACTTCTCTAAGAGAATTTATATTAGCCATTTGACTTGTGCCCACTGATTATATTCTAATACTTCCCTAAAAATACAAAACATAAACTTCACTTGGCATAACTTGTGTACAATTTTAATAACTTTATTCTTTGTTCATCACACATACACTTTTTTATAGAGTAGTGTATCAAAGACAGAGATTTTCATTCCATTTTTAACATAAGTCATTATGTATTTAATTATTTTTATCTGCTTTCCTATCAAAAAGACAGTGGACAGTTTCAAAAAACTAAGTATAGTAACTGTCCTGACTACTTTTGACAATCACTAAAGTGAATATATTTGACATTAAATTTAGAGACTCCATAATGTAATTATATTTGTAATGTGGGGATATGAATTCATCATTTGGAAAGTCTAAATGATTAAGCTAACTAATCAACCAATCAAAAATATTCATTCTTTTTAATGGGAAGAACCTCTGACTGAGTCCAAGTTAGCAATAATATGTTGATCCTTGGATTAAAAATGAAGTCACATGTAGTAGAGAAAATATAGCTATCATTTATTGAGACTGTTATGTGCCAGGCATATACCAGATGCTCAGTATATGTTATCTCATACAATTTAATCCCTACGATAATAACTGGGGTAGATACATTATAATTACACAGTTTTACAGGTGTGCAAACTGAATCTCAGAGAGTTTAAGCTTAATTAAGATCATATAGCTTGTAGGTAGCAGAGCTGGGATTTAAACTTAGGGATGTCTTCTTGAAATGCTGTCCTTTATCTCTACGCTATGAAGTATTTCAGATTATGATCCATTTATGCCAAAGTCATCTTTTGTGAACTGATTGGCCAGGTATGGGGCAGTGGTTTAGAGCACAGCCAGCCATTCAGTCTCAGGGTGGATTTTAAGATATTTTCCTTCATTAATATCATAAACTAAGTAATTGGACTAACTTGTCAAAGGTATCTCTTATGTGAATGTAAATTTGACATAAAAACATAAACTCAACTCAGGTTTTTACAGATATCCTAAATATCTGAAGCATTTATGACCATTTATCACTGAACTAAGCTGTTCATACAAGCTGCACAGTTTGCTAATCTTATACAGGTAGAGTTTAAGATCAATGTTTTATGGATAGAGAGGAAAATGAAGTGACAAGAAGACAAATAATCCACGCCTTCCCAACCAAAGATTCTTTCACATAGAATTTCTTGACATTAACAAGAAATAATATCAGACAGTGTTATCAGCAAGATGGTGGAATAGGAGGTCCCAGGAAGTCCCAGGCTTCACTCCCTCTCACAGAAGATCAAGCAGCAATTATCCACAGACCAAAGCACCTGGTGAAACCTCAGCATGTAAAAATCAACCTGAATTACCTGTGTGTTCCACGAAACTAAATAAAAACTTACATTGAAAGGATAGGAAAAATGATCTCACTTTAACCACATTACTGTTCCTTCTCCTCCAAGTTGGCACAATGCTACACAGAGAGAATTCTCCAGGTTTCTACAGTGGGAAAAGAGAACCAAGTAAGTGGACTTCCAGCTTCCCTAGCATTCTGAGATGCCTACCAGGAAGCTCACTTTGCTTTCATCTCATGGGGAATGGGGAACATACAGAAAAACTGCACGGCTAGATTCCCTGGGGTCAGGGAAGAAACAAAGCGATCGATAGAGGCCACAGAGAACAATGTGTCAATTTTTGTGAAAGCACAGTGTACCTGACAGCAGTGGTGCTCAATAAAAGGTACCAACTAACAGCATAGCTCATCCACAAAACCAAGTTGGTGACTCCTAGAAAAGATGAGAAGTGCTACATTGCTTGAATTCCTGGATGGTCAGCCTCTATAGCCAGCATTACACACTACTCCAAATCGTTATCCTGGGAAGGAGAAAATTCCTGCAGTGAATTTCCAAACAAGTAGTATCTAGATAGGCCACATCTGAAAGCTTAATCAGTATTCCCCACAACCTCAAAACTCAACCCTAGACCCTGTCCAGGGAGGGAGGCAAACCTCAATTGTACATTTCTACTGAGCTTAGCAGTTGGTCAATCCATCCTTGTTTACTTAACCTCAAGGCTCCTCCTGCAACCCTGTGCAACTTCTAAACTCAAATGACAGCGCCTTCTAGCCTGAAAATACACTCTGTAACCTAGCTCAAATTCAGAGCAAATGTATTATCCCAGCCATCTAGAGAACCTGAAAGAAAGCTTTGCTTGCCAGTCCATCTAGAATCACAGGCTAGACTAACTAGTGAAGGTCTATCCTTGCCAAAGAAAATCTCCTATAAAAGCTGGAAAAAGTGGCTATCCCTGCAAATGTGTAAGCACCAAGGCAAGGACAAAAGGATTACAAAGACTCGGGAAATCATGACACCTACAAAAAAATTAACAAAGCTCCAACAATAAACCCCAAAGAAAGGGAGATCTATGAAATGACAGAAATAAAATTCAGAATAATCTTCTTTTAAAAAGTTCAATGAACTTCAAGAATATTCAAATAAAAAATTAAATACAACTTGGATAACAATACATGAACAACATGAAAAGTTTGACAAACAAAAAAAATACAAAATAAACAGGAATTTTATAGTTAAAGAACACAATGATTAATGTAAAAAGTAAATGAAAAACTTCAACAGCCAGCTCAATCAAGCTGAAGAAAGAATCAGTGAATTCAAAGACAGAACATGTAAAATTACCCAAGAGAGGAGGGAAAAAAATAAAGACAAAGAAGAAATGAAGGAAACCTATGGGAATTATGGAATACTATCAAGGGACCTAACCCACACAAAATTGGCATTCCAGAAGGAAAAGAAAGAGAATGAGGGCCAGAAAGTATATTTAAAGAAATAATAAATAAAAGCATCCCTAATCTGAAGAAAGAAGACAAAATTCTTACATAAAGGTAAGAAGTCACCTGTGAAATTCAACCCAAAGAGTTTACCAAGATATATGATAATCACACTACCAAAAATCAAAGACAAAGAAATCCTGAAAGCAGCAAGAATTAAGAAATATATCACATACAAAGGAGTCCCAATACATCTATCAGTGAATGTCTCAGCAGAAACCAGGAGAGAGTGTGATAATACATTCCAAGTGTTGAAGGGGGGGGGAAAAACCTGTGAACCAAGAATACTTTACCCAGAAAACTTATATTTCAGAAATCAAAACATTTCCAGACAAACAAAAGCTAAGGGAGATTATCACCATAAGGCCTGCCTTACAGGAATTGCAAGAGAGTTCTTTTTTTTTTTTTTTTTAATAAATTAAAATTTAATAATTGATTCCAGATTACATTATTTTTTTT